ATTGTCCAGTGGCATTAAGTACCCGTAATGTGCACCTCTGCCTACCCCTTCGGGGATAAAAAGGCGTGATTTTGTGTTGTGATTACGTAGATTTTTTGCAGCACTATGGCGCGACAGGACTGGCTGCTAGCAGTAGGATCGCCTGATAGTAAGCAATCGGTTCGCCCATGGACACCTGCACCACCAGAGGAGTTACATGACTTACAAGTGCGTTGCCGGCCTTTAAGGAATTAGATTTGGGAAACTGGGGCTCTGATAACCTCATATCATCACCAACAGCCTATAAGTCCCCACTGCTGAGCAAATGCCTCTTCTCAGACGGAGAAGGTTTGAGCATTAATCACCACGCTTGTTCAACGCAGGTTGGCAACCCCACCCACACCATGGCCAAACAACGCAAGTGATGAACTAGTTGTTAAATGTTAAAATAGTATCTCTTTTGGTATGGAATGGACAACTGAAGCATGATGCCAATCGTGTTCGTAAAGGCAATGATCAATTTAAGACGATTAGATAGAAATGAAGAGATTGTGTGAGCTGTAATACGGAGGACGGGGAAGTATTGTTACTATTGCCATGTCTGACACCCGCGCCCTGTACGATACACATACAACGGTAGACCACGCACTAAACCTGTTCTTGCTGATCAACAACTAGTTAGTCGAGTCACTACACGTGACGTCACGCGACGGATTATCCACTCGATGACTGTCATCTCGTACGACACTTGATCTAACGATATCAATACGATCTATACTTATTATGCTACAGATTGTTTGTTTGCCTATCTCCTGTAGTAGTAAGTACCGGGGCAAGTAACTATTGTTACAATGTTACCGCGTGCCCTGACTGCGTACATAATATAGTATTCTGTGATAGATAATATTGTGCCACAGTCCTCTGATGTTTCATTACAGAGGCTAAACTGACATTTTGTCAAACATATTTTTGATAAAAGTTGGCGCATTGTTCGTGCAAGTGTGTAATGTTAACAATAGTAAGTACACAACACTCGACACTGCAGACAAACACCAATTCATTCATTATTACAGATATCATGTTATCACGAGTCAATTCAGTCTCTAAAATAAAATAATGAGTTATTAACATAATTATCAATGATTATGATTGGCTTACCAGTGACATCAGGTGCCGTGGGCGCTGGTGATGCAAAAGGGGCTGGTGCAGGTGCCGCTGCCGTCGGGTAAGGAGCCGTCGTGGGGTAGGGAGCCCCTGTGGGGTACGGTGCCCCTGTAGGGTAGGGCGCCCCTGTAGGGTAGGGCGCAGTCGTGGGGTAGGGCGCGGCCGGCGGGTAGGGGGTGGCCGCAGGGTATGCCCCCGTCACTGGGTACACGGTCACTGTCGGCGCTGTGGACAACGTGGCGGTCAGTGTACGGGTGTATGGAGTGCAGTGTGTCGGCAGTGTGGGCAGTGTGTCACCTGTGTGGCGCGCGTCGTGCGGCGGGTACACCGCGCCCGCGTACTGTTGCTGCGGGTATGGCGCGCCCGCGCCCTCTCGCGCCGGCGCTGCAACACACGCACACGTATACACACGCTGCCACACGGACAGGACTGCACCACTGCAGGACGACGACGGACTACTCACGCGCGATGACGCGGCCGCGGGACTTGTTGCGGCAGCAGCAGCGACACACTAGCGCCAGCAGCAGCGAGGCCAGCACGCCGCAACCGAGCCACCATAGCAGCTCCATGGGGGGCCCGCGCGGCCCGTGACGAGAGTCCTACACACACACACACGTCACTTGTTGCAACCCAGCCACCATAGCAGCTCCATGGGGGGCCCGCGCGGCCCGTGACGAGAGTCCTACACACACACACACGTCACTTGTTGCAACCCAGCCACCATAGCAGCTCCATGGGGGGCCCGCGCGGCCCGTGACGAGAGTCCTACACACACACACACGTCACTTGTTGCAACCCAGCCACCATAGCAGCTCCATGGGGGGCCCGCGCGGCCCGTGACGAGAGTCCTACACACACACACACGTCACTTGTTGCAACCCAGCCACCATAGCAGCTCCATGGGGGGCCCGCGCGGCCCGTGACGAGAGTCCTACACACACACACACGTCACTTGTTGCAACCCAGCCACCATAGCAGCTCCATGGGGGGCCCGCGCGGCCCGTGACGAGAGTCCTACACACACACACACGTCACTTGTTGCAACCCAGCCACCATAGCAGCTCCATGGGGGGCCCGCGCGGCCCGTGACGAGAGTCCTACACACACACACACGTCACTTGTTGCAACCCAGCCACCATAGCAGCTCCATGGGGGGCCCGCGCGGCCCGTGACGAGAGTCCTACACACACACACACGTCACTTGTTGCAACCCAGCCACCATAGCAGCTCCATGGGGGGCCCGCGCGGCCCGTGACGAGAGTCCTACACACACACACACGTCACTTGTTGCAACCCAGCCACCATAGCAGCTCCATGGGGGGCCCGCGCGGCCCGTGACGAGAGTCCTACACACACACACACGTCACTTGTTGCAACCCAGCCACCATAGCAGCTCCATGGGGGGCCCGCGCGGCCCGTGACGAGAGTCCTACACACACACACGTCACTTGTTGCAACCCAGCCACCATAGCAGCTCCATGGGGGGCCCGCGCGGCCCGTGACGAGAGTCCTACACACACACACACGTCACTTGTTGCAACCCAGCCACCATAGCAGCTCCATGGGGGGCCCGCGCGGCCCGTGACGAGAGTCCTACACACACACACACGTCACTTGTTGCAACCCAGCCACCATAGCAGCTCCATGGGGGGCCCGCGCGGCCCGTGACGAGAGTCCTACACACACACACACGTCACTTGTTGCAACCCAGCCACCATAGCAGCTCCATGGGGGGCCCGCGCGGCCCGTGACGAGAGTCCTACACACACACACACGTCACTTGTTGCAACCCAGCCACCATAGCAGCTCCATGGGGGGCCCGCGCGGCCCGTGACGAGAGTCCTACACACACACACACGTCACTTGTTGCAACCCAGCCACCATAGCAGCTCCATGGGGGGCCCGCGCGGCCCGTGACGAGAGTCCTACACACACACACACGTCACTTGTTGCAACCCAGCCACCATAGCAGCTCCATGGGGGGCCCGCGCGGCCCGTGACGAGAGTCCTACACACACACACACGTCACTTGTTGCAACCCAGCCACCATAGCAGCTCCATGGGGGGCCCGCGCGGCCCGTGACGAGAGTCCTACACACACACACACGTCACTTGTTGCAACCCAGCCACCATAGCAGCTCCATGGGGGGCCCGCGCGGCCCGTGACGAGAGTCCTACACACACACACACGTCACTTGTTGCAACCCAGCCACCATAGCAGCTCCATGGGGGGCCCGCGCGGCCCGTGACGAGAGTCCTACACACACACACACACACACACACACACACATTCATACGACACTTCCTGCCACTCACTCTACAGGAACTTGTGGCCAGCAGATAACAAACATTCTGTACTACCACCTACACAACACTCACACTGATCAACTCCATACTAGGTATCCATGTTACACACAGCCATGTTTAAAATTCAATTAACTCATTCATTTAACTCGTCGAGTACCGTCATTATAGACACAATTATAGAACAATAGGTTGCGGTCACCGGTGACCGCTTGGTGTTTGACACTTTAAATCATATCAACTAGGAAGTAAGGAAACAAAATAATCAATGTTAGAAATGAATATGAAATTACTGCCACCATGGAAAATGTGCACATGGTTTGTGCAGAGTATTATATGATGCAATCTCACAGGCTCAACAGGTTAGCAGCTCATGCAAAAGGTTATTTTACAGAAGCAAGGGCAAATAAAACAACTGATGATCGGGAGCAAGTTAAAGAAGTAACTCACAAGTAGTAGGACTAAGTGACAAGTCAGTTGTTCAGTTGAGAGACACAGAGACTACACGTTACTGTCAATATGTTGTCACGTGGCCCACTACTGCCGCAGTATGTTAAGTACATACCACTCCACAGCACCGTCACAGCTATCACTACTGCTGTCCCACTGTACCAGTGTACCAGTGACTGTACCAGTGTGCCAGTGACTGTACCAGAGTATCAGTGACTGTACCAAACCAACCACTGCCTGCAGCGGACTAGTGCGCGGCGCCGCTCGCACCTGTAGCTGCGCGGTATCTGCGCGACCAATCCATAATCAGCCAGTAATTAGTCCTTACATCGAGATACGGCGATAGTATATCAGTGTGCAGAGTGGCAGTGTTAGTCAAGCGGCACTCAGTGTCGCCTGACGTAAGCGCTGCGCCGAGCGACCTCACGTACCTTAAAAAAGTCGTCGACATCGAGCTCGTTCGACTCGAACATCACTTGTAAGCAATAATGGAACAATAACAATGATGACACAGCGCTGACTGCGCTTCACTACACTGGCCGCCGTCGCCCCACTGACTGTGTATCACTGATCGACTCAACTACTGTAAAACTGAGCACTGTGCGCGCGAAACGTTTCCCAGTTCTCACCCAACTCGTATCCGACATGCGAGCTATGAGTCACGCCAGCGGACAATCGGGCAGATTGCTCTTAACTCTGGGTTTTCCTTTCCAGATTAACTAAACAAGGAAAGACAAAGCGTAGTAATGTACCACCAATGATTTTAATGTAGGTACAAATAAAATTCTGTCCTTTGAATTTTATCTTACGACAACGGTAACTAAATTATCTAATCTAATGCACTAGATATGAAACAAACATAATCACGAGATTCATCAGAAAAAAACATTTTCTATTGACATACCTATAAATAAATAAAAGCGTTCCAAGCTGCTACCGCAAACTTCGCTGTTGTCACCTTCACTTGTCAGTTGTCACTGTGCTACTGCTGTCAGTGCTGTCACTGCTTGTCACTTGACATCAAAGAAATTACATAAGCACTAGCTTTTTACTTATTATACTCTTTGGGCACTAGTGACTTGACTTGTTTTCTGTTTTTGTTTTTAGTTTTTAGCTGTTAATATTATTAGTATTAATATTACTTAGTTCTTATTATTATTTTAGTATTTACAGCGTCAAACAAAATTATTAAATAATATCTTGACAAAAAAATAATATACCTGACATTACACTAGCCTTGTGATCCTTGTGATCTATATCCTTATATTTGTGATCCTTAGAGTTAAAAGAAATCACATCGTGCAAATAGAAACATATAGCAATATTGATTTAAATGTAATTACAAAAAAGTAATAAAAATTCATGAAAAAAAACTATCACATTAGAAATCAAAATCATGGCACAACAACATATTATATTATACATATTATAATTATAACACAATTCGTTTAAGGTGTAGCGGGTTATAGGTAATGTGATAATTTATTACCTAATTTAATGATATCTAAAGTATGTAACTTATAATTAAAAATTAAAATAACAATGAATGTTCTTACTTGCTTAAACTACATAAAATAAATTGAAATCGAAACTGAAATTGATCGTGATCACTAAAAGTCGACTAAATATGAGACTTATACAATGAAAATAAAATGGTGGTCTCCAAAGTGTTCGTCGTCCTATAGGAATGTCAATATTGTCATTGTCAATGCCAATGTCAATAAAGTTACAATTGTCATTTGAAATTTGTTATGTACAGTGTGTTAGTGTGTACTTGAAGCCTAGATTATATAGTTTTATAATTACAATTACAACCTATTCTGTCCCTAATTTATTGTTCTAACATTCAGATAAGAACTCATTCCTGTAGTAAATATAACCGGCTAAGCAGCTTCCCTCATCACCATGAGTTCTGGATTCCTCAGTCGTACATTACTGCCACTGCGACAGGTGTTCACAGCGCAGACTTCACATTTGCACAGTTCAGATGTTACATTTGCTGCTGTGAAGAAAACTACTTCTGCCGCCGGAGGTGCGTACACCGTATTTATACTTCATACTCATGCGTCAGTTGCATGTCGTTCATTCACGTGTTTGTATTAGCGGAGCGCACGGCGGTGCTAATGTTGGTCTTGTCCAGGTGTTATGGGGCTGGGGAAAGGCAAGAAAAAAGTCGGCAAGCTAGGTGCTATGGAAAAGAAAGAAATGCCTGTAGAGAGCGACCCACACAAGCTAGTCAACTATGTATGTGGCTCCAACATCTACACCACAGGGGAGGACGTCAAGGTGAGCTCTCTATCTACTTTGTTACTCATTTGTATAATTATGTACCACCACTATGGAAACTCACCATCAGGCAAGATAGTGGCCCAACACTAACCCATTACCAATAAAAATAAAACTAAAGTTGCCACTTCAATGAAAGGACTTGATATATCTACTAATGATTGACAATAAATATATCAATAATTTAGTTAATATCCAACCCTTTATGTGTCTAAAATGCAGATACATGTGAGAGAAAGTACTTTCTATGGTTTCATATATGGATACATACATGGATGGCTTCTATTGAAAGACAGATGTTTTACTAGCAGGTAGTGCAAGGTTCCATCAAACACCTTGTAATTTTATCATCAAACCAGCGCTGTGACCCCACAATATGGAAGGACTTGTATATAATTACCAAGTTTCATGATGATACCAGAATGTATGCACGAGTCTTAGATTTGATTACCTACATAGTTTGTTACAAGTAGATCTAATCAATAAAATGAAATCGCTTCATTCTTATTCATTGCCAGACTCTTCCTGAAGGGGTATGACCTGGGTGTCTTCAAGGCCCGAGTGAATAGGTTGCTTATGGGTTGACTTGCTCCACATCATCGCTTACCACCAGGCGAGATAGTGGCCAAATGTCAGTTCTATCTAATAAATAAAAAAAATAAAAGTCACTGATTCTAATATTAATAAATGTAGTCTTTTCAAAAATGAATCTAACTTGGCATGTTAAATACACTGGAACAAATGCAATGAGAAGAAGGGTTTCTAAATTGACATTGCCAAGCATGGGTTGTTGAGGTTCGTATTGCCAGGTCGTCGCGTGTAGTTGCAGGAGGACGGCGCGTACCCCGCGTGGCTGTGGGCGCTGCGCACGCGCGCGCCCGCGCTGGCCGAGCTGGCGCCCGACTCCAAGCAGTACTGGCTGCGGGTGCGCACCGCCGCCATGCGCCGCAACAACAAGCTGCGCTCCATGAGGAAGTTCTAGGCCGTGCCATCTCCGTAGCCAACTAGCGACTGTAAATATTAGTTAGGCAATAATACCCGAGCTGTACAAATATACCATTTATTTCATTCACAAAGACTTTCAATCGAAATTCACAAAATGTTTTGTATGTGTTAGTGATGTCAATATGATTCGTCAATTCGTCATGTATACAAGTAAACATTGTTCCTTAAAATCAAAGTAAACACCATTTTTACAAAATATTTTACGACTTAATACCTACCGAATATTTTTTATAAAATTAAATAATAAACCAGCTAGGCATACACATTAGGTACGACAAGACAATTTTGCAATTCACACGTGTCAAATCCAAAGATACAGTACGACGACATGACCGATTTGTCTCAACATTACAGTTCTGATAGGACGGGACGTTACTTTACTCGACTCGAACGATTTTTTTGTTATTAACTTGAACTGGCACACGGACATCACAAGCGAGGCTCGCCATTGCAGCCACTACAGGCAGTCCATCGTGTCCTCCTTGATGATCATCGGCGGCGCGTAGTCGCCGTGCTTCGTGCCGAATGAGTACGAGTACGGGTTCTGTAACAGACGCGACACGTTACTTCACTCGCTCCCTGCGCGCAGCGATCTGTCGAGCTTCGCAGCACTCACCTTCTTAGTGTTGTAGAGGTTGGGCGGGTAGGCGGCGGGCCCCGGCGTCTTCGTGGCCTTGCCGGCCCCTTCCAGTCGAGCGCCCAGCGAGTACACGGGTTGCCTGCCAACACACCGCTCGGTATTAGGCGCCACACGTATGTAATAATGATATTCCTGTGGCAGTACTCACTTGCACTTGTACACGTTGGTGTCGCGCTGGAAGTACACCGCGGGCCCCGGTGACTTGGCCTTGGGCATGAAACCAACGCGCGCCCCCATGGTGTAGGCGGGCGTGCCGGGGCCCATGTGCAGCGCGTAGGCGTTGGGTGCGGGCCCCGGCCGCTTGAGCGCGAAGCCTAGCCGCGCGCCCATGGAGTACACGGGCGCGCGCGGTTCACGCATGGGCGGGCAGCGCTCGGGTGCGTGTGCGCCGGGGCCCGGCGTGCGCAGCGTAGCGCGCGCGGGGAAGCGGGCCCCGAACGACCAGGCGGGCGCCGACATGACGCCGTCGCGCGTCACGCGCTCGATGCGGTAGGCGGGCCCCGGACCCAGCCCGCGCACGCGGTATCCGGCGTTGGTGCCGAACGAGTACATGGGGTTGCGGTAGCGCGACGGGTCGTGCTGCGTGAAGCCGACCGTCGTGGGCAGCTGGTAGGCGCCCGGCCCGGGGCCTGCAACGTCACGTGTCGCGCGCCACTACATGCCATATGTCACTACTACACTACTGCGCTGCGATACTCACCCAGAGGTCTCTTGGACATTGTGTGTGCTTGTGATTGCGGTTGTGTTTATATTTTACTAAAATTTAGTGTCATTGAATTAAAGTGCGTTGTGTTGATTACGGTAATTTTGACATAATGGTCAGTCGGCCACGACGTGTGACGTTTCAAACAAATGAACTTTCAAACATAGAAACAGCGCGTCACACTGCGCGGACATGACCCGGCCCAGCGGCCCAGCGGCCCAGCACTACCGCTTACATCGTCGGTCATCGGGTCGAGCTACTAGTAGTACATGTATATTATTGAATAGTTAAACATCTAGCAGTGTTCATGGGCTTATAGATTACTAGCTTTTACCCGCGGCTTCGCTCGCGTCACAAAACGATAAAAAGTAGCCTATGTGACATATACCATACACACAGCGCCATCTATACCAATAATTTCGTTTTCCCTCGAGAATATCAAATTTTTCCGGGATAAAACGTACCCTATTATTTAATCCAGACTTCTAACTTTACGTCTGCAAAATTTCAAAGCAATCGGTTTAGTAGTTCTTTACGGCGTGAAAGTGGAACAAACAAACTCACTTTCCAATTTATAATATTAAGTAAGGATAGGTAGGGTAGGGTAGGGTACTAAACTAGTGAAACAACCAACACATTGGGTCTAGTTTATAATTAAGTAAGTACCTTCAGTTTTGCTTTACTATATACTTCTGTTTATTACCAACGCCGATAAACTTTCAATACATAATTGAATTACTTAATATGTTTGTACAGTGCGACCACTAAGTAGAAATCGGTTGCAACTTCGATGTTATCAGTCCAGTAAGATAAAGTAGCCTGTAGTCTGTAGGTACTAGGTAGTATGTACGAGTCGCTCGAGTGGTGTCGGTGGCTCTACTGACGGGGCGCCAGCGGCAGACGCTCGGCGCCAACCTCGTAGTCGGCGCCCTCCTCCTCCGGCGAGCTGGCGCCCCACTGCATACACAGGCACGTTACAACGGTACAGTACACACACACACACACACACACAGCGCGGCACAGTACCTGGCGGGACAGCGGATGCGCCGTCAGCGCGCGGTACAGGTAGGCCACGTACAGCAGATTGAGCACACCCAGCGCACGCATCGCTGTCTCGAAGCCCACGCACCATGATACCGCGCCGCCCAGCACCGGGCCCAGCGCGTACGCTGCGCTCGACGCCGCCTGCAGCAGCGCCGCCACGTGCGCCTCGCGCCGTGGGTGGCGAGCCAGCAGCGCTGGCACCAGCGCCGCGTCCGCTGCGCCCAGCCCTGCGCCCAGCGCCACGTGCGGCGCCGCCAGCCCCGACACCTGTACGTGTACACCGCACGTGTAGCGAGCCGGCCGCGGTCCGCCTCACTACACGCCAGTACTCACGGAGCGCGCGTGCGGCACGGCGAGCGCGGCGAGTGCCACGGCGAGCTGCCCCGCCAGCGCCACGCGCTCGGCGCCCAGCCGCCGCGCCGCGCCGCCCAGCAGGCTGGCGGCCAGCAGGTAGGCGGCGGAGTCCGGCACGAACACTGCGCCCGTCAGCCAGCGCTGCGGGTGGAACTTGTGCATCAGCCACAGCGGCAGGCACGGCTCCAGCGCCGCCATGACGCACGTCGTCAGCAGCACGGCGCCCGCGCACGCGCCCGCGCCCTCGCGCCCCGCCAGCGCCCACACGCCGCGCCACGACACTCCGCCCGCGCCTTCATCGCACGGCTGGAACCACCATACTGTCGTCAAGTGCAATGCTAGGAATACTATACTCGCGTCCTTTAGATAAAAAATAAAATAAAAAATACTTATTATAAATTTTATTTTTTTAATATGCTTCATGCACAAAATGTACAAATAGATGGACTTGTGGCGACACGTGGTACATGTCAACGGGTGACGTCACAAAAATCCTACATCGCACATGTGAAGTTTACCTAAGATTTAACACGGATAGAAAATCCCAACGAGCAACTGTGCAGAAAGCCCGCCAGGCACGAACACCTCGCCTGGTCGGAGGATCCTCCTTTTCCGATCTTAGGGAACTATACTCTCTGTTCCCTAAAGACTTAATGCCACAGGCTAATAAAAATCCGATTCCTCGCATTCTGATGTGATTCCCTTGAATAATTTCTTTATTAACTACATATAACTTGCAATTAACTGGTATAATAAACTGTACAATTTTAATAAGCTGTAACCACTGCGAAAATTTTGATATGCTCACCTATCAAATGTCTGTCACTATACGTGAGGACTTGTAATTGTCTTACAGTAGTTTATGTTGACTTCTATTTTTATGTAGTTTTAGCTGTAAGTCCTCCAGAGTGTAATAAATAAATAAATAAATATAAAAACCGACTTTTACCGACGAGGGCATTTTTAGAAGTCGGATTTACACAAACATAAGTAGGTACATAGGAACTGATTTTGTTTGAAGTTTGTTAAATTAGCCTTGACAGTTGGAAAACTGGAGTACTCACGCGATTGTACTCCTCCTTATCCAGAAACATGTACTGCAGGGCTGAAACAAAGGAACACGCACTTAATACTCACTACTCACTCAGACTCTACGACACTACCTGCGTCGCCGTTAGAGAAGATAACCCACGGCCGCAGCATTCTCACCGAGGTCGGCCAGCAACGCGGCCGCTATCAGCAGGAAGGGCGCGCCGCGACTCCACAGCGCGTACGTCGCCCCGCCGAACGGATAGCCCACCAACACGCCTGCAACACCACACTCGATGCACTGCCGCGGCCCACGCGCCGCACGCTTGTGGCCAGTTACTTACCCAGTGCGACGGCTCCTAGCAGCGCTCCGATGGCACGGTCCCGCTGCGGCGGCGCCAACACCCGCGCCGCCAGCGCCAGCCCCGACACCGCGCCCAGCGCCGCGCCCGCGCCGTGCGCCGCGCGCCCCGCCGCCACGCACAGCGCCGCGCGCCATCCGCCGCGCCCGCTCACACACGCG